TGGCTTAGCCAATTTTATTGTGCACGAATTTCTTGTACTTTAATCATTATCTGTGTCCATGACATGTGGAAAACGGAGATGAGGTCTTTTTTGGATACCCGGACTTCTGAGTTAAAGTGTTTATTTTATTAGTGGGGGGGAAAGGAAGATATTTAAAACAACCCGTCACATAGGGCAGGGAACCGACCGAAATCCGTACCACGTACCGTTAAATATCATCAGTTTTTTCATGTGAACACAATTGTAGTCTGGAACAAATTATCCCCCAAATGTGAAAATTCTGCAAAATTATTCCTTGTTTAAGGGAACTGCCACTCTTTTTCTGCATTCAGAAAAACCCTCAATTTTCAAATGCTGAATCTACCGAATTAATCTTCTGTAGTGCTGGAGTTCATGGTCCCTGACCCCTGGCAGGTCTTGTCTTCTGAGAAATGGTGCTGACTCTGCAACCCGCAACATTACGAATAATTTCTTCAGCCGACAGTGGGCAACTGCTCTCAAATGCACTCTGCTGCAGTCCCAGTTCCATGAAAAGGAATATATGCTAAACCATCCAATGTGATGTTAACCATTTCCTTTCTAGACAGTCGTCATTTCACGGACTGTACTTCTTTCTTCTGAGCCATCCAAACTATCCAAAGCACTGTTACTTATATCTACTTCCTCAGGGATTTTTCCGCTGCTTTCCAATCCGTAAAACGTCCTTCTCTGGCAATGCCTCCAATCTCTGTTGTCTTTGATGGCAAAACTTCTAGACTAGTAATTAGTCGTCGCTACATGGGCACCCACTTGAACTTGAACTGCCAAAAAGCAAATACACATATTTCTTTCAGTAACTACGATAGATGTGCGAACAGAAGAAATGGGTCACAAACTTTCCGGCAATTGAAATAATTAAATGAATTATTTTATTTAGCATCCATAAGGGTACTTTCATGACACAAAAACGCCTGACTAAAGAGGAGAATGAGCCCCCGACACTAGCGTTATTATCAGGACGTGCTGGCCGAATGACCTACGTGACCGTCAAAAGATGATATCCACCAACTAATAGAAGACTGGTTGACAGTAGAAGACGCAATGCCAGGGACAATGCGTATTTTTTCAAAAAGCGAGAAAAAATGTAAGAGAGGGATAGAAAATGATATAGCAGATGTATGCATTAAAAATCTAATATTAAGTTCTGAGGAGTGAAAAAGGGTTTAATCGTGGTGAGTGCTATGATAATTGGCACATCTTATTAAATTGAGAATTAATAGGAGGAGATCAGGGCGGGTTGGAGAACGGAGTGTCAGGTCGAAGGCCCAGAGTTGAGATGGACCTTTAGTGGGGGTGTTAGGACGCCGCCCTAATGATCTGCACATGTGGCGTACACAAGCTGATGTCGCGCCAGCTCCCGATAGGATTGGAGGCTTACCCAACCAGTCAGATGAGTCAGAAATCCACTCGACCTGTTAACCGCGGAAAATGGAGTACCGGCAAAGACAATTGAGACCGGAAAGGCCATTTTTAGCTAGTTGGTCGTCATCAGCAAGTCACATCCGATTTCAAGTGTGGAGCACCTGCGCATGAGGGTTCTAGATTAAACTCTAAGAAATATCGTGACAAGGGTGTCCTGTAACCTGGTCGGTAAGCACCACTCTATCACGACAATTTCAACCACTCAAGGCCACTACCTGATTAATCGAATTTCAGCTCGATCTTGGACGTTTCCATGTGCTGCTTCTTCGTCCTATATGCAATTTAGAATACGACAATGCGCCACTTTTTCTCCCTTGCTGTTGAGTCCTAGTTTTGGCGATTCAATCAAGGAGGAGTGTTGGACGGACGATAGGCGAGGCGTGCTGCAAGTTCATAAGGGGAGGAATATTTGAAGAGTATTGCAGCCTAAGTAACTGGTAACTTTTTAGTGACCACGCTTGGAATGGGACTTTTGGAAATTTAAAACTTTGGGATCGGGACTGACAATGTTTGACGTCTTCTTACGAGAGATCAACTGTCTTCGTATGGCTGTTTTGTACTCTAACGTTTGAGCGACAAAAAGCGTAATCAACTTTTCCCTGTACTAACATTGTTTTAGATCATTTGCAGGATTTAAAACAATTTCTAAAAAAACAATATAAAATTTAAATTGCACTCACAGGTTTGCCGATCATTCCTCAGATGTCTTCTGTGTAACGGTTTTGCCTTGAATAGATAGGTTGTTGGAGCACTAATTTATACCATGGCTTAGGAACTGCGGACTGCGATACACGCCTCAATAGCCAATAGATATTATCAAAGTGTGTGCCCAACAAGAATAATTAGTGTTCGGCACTAGACTGCTAAATCCGAAAGAATGTCAAGAAGCACATCTCTCGATCCTTTACACTTATAGATCAACATTAATGTCTGCCGCTTTCAATTGGCTCCGGCCGTAGGATATCAATCCGGCCATAAAGGCGATCGTAGTTTGACAAAAGTGTTCGAGGATTATTGTGGCTTCATATATGATCAACGTAAAATGCCACTCTCAGCGCTTGTTCGAGTCGGCACCAACGATACCGTACGGGGGTCCAAATGTCAAATTATGTGTTGCTGCAGCAGTCTTATTTCTGGCATCCCACACACAAAAGTGGAACGTCTATTTCCGAAATTCATTTGACTTAACGCGGAAAGGACCCATTATGTAACTCGTGAGCTGAAGATGTTAACATCGGGAATGCAGCCACAGTCTCGTTTTGTCACAAAAGCAGGTTTTGACAAAACTTACAGAACCTTGAATGTAATTTAACGAAGACAGTGTTTGGTCTGAAAACCCTTCAGCAAACAAAAAGGTGATACAGCCACGCCGAGTAAGATAGCCTAGGATTTCTAGCAAACTGATCACGAATTTAGTTGTCCAAAAATGAGAACAACCTGACCTCAACACCTGCAGCTTTTGACAGGGCAGGAGAATAGGTAACCTCCCATTGCATGTGGTCTTACGGCAAATTCGAGGAGCGGTTACGATCAGGATTGGGCTTAGTTTTATGGCCAGGGGCGAGGCGTTAGAGATAGTTTTAGTGGCAGGGTTGGTGTTATGAGGATTGTGTTCCCAAAACGGGCCACTCGGTAGACGCGCTGGACCAACACGGGGGCGATATTGGCTTCTGACAAGAGTTATCGAAATGCGTACCAAAACAAATGCAAACAGTCGGGATGCGGTGACAGGTCCAATTTCCGTCTTACGTTTCGCACATTGGGATCCCCGCCGTCCCCCCATTTCTGCTGTTAGTTAAAATCCCGTTTAAGTTTTTGCTGTGGACCAGGGGATGTGGTGGTAGGTTTTGATGCGGGTTCGGCCGTGCCAGCCAGCTGCACCCTCTCCCACCTCCGGTCTTCAGGACTCTGTCTTGACACCGGACCCAGGTGAAGGAGGAGGGAGTGTGGTAGGTGTTGCGCAAGTCTACTATCGCTACAACCTAGCTCGCGCACAAGTCACCGTATTTTCTCTCACCCTGCTTTGGAGTGCACGGTGGGCATCGTCGGTCACGACAGTCGGACCGTCGTTATGAGGGTTAGGGTTACGATACAGGAATAGGTACTCCTGGAATCTAGCGCAAGACTAGCTATAATACGTGCAGTGCATATTCTGGAGTCCAGCAGAACCTTTGTTCATTTGCATCTCTTCTATCCAAACCATCTGCCGATGAGCCGCCGCATCGCCCCCCCCCCTTCTAGAAATAGAGATTGAGGGAGAGAGAGAGAGAATACCCAGTATCATGAAACACTTACTGCCGTGGTGCAATCTGCAGACGCAATCGACCGGAAGAATTTACTGTCAAATTCCGCCATTTATTTAAAATCGAACTACCCCATATGACGTCTGACTCCTTAAAAGTTCCTGTGAGAAGACAGATTTTTTTTAGTAAGACGCCCTCCGTGGTCGGTCCCGTCCCAAGGACATTACTTGCTCATTCCCCGCAAACGCGGATACAAGTCATTGGTAAAACGCGTTAAATTGGAAGTTATCGGTGAGCAAGATAGAGCCATATCCTAAGCCAGAATCAGAAGACGGCTGAGTAGTGCTCAAAGAAAACTAAGCATGCCTTTTTACACATAAAAATGTCAGCTGCTGTATCAGGTGAGGAAGGAGCGCTAATCCTAGACAGCTAGACAAACTGACTAAATACCCGAACTGTGCCATAATAACGCAGAAATCAAACTAAAGTCCGGGACTTAACTGCTATTCGTTAAAATTAAAACGCCGAGGACCGTTTTCGGTCCGAATTGGTTGCCCAGATTCTAACTAGCAGACATACCGCCCATGACAATGAAGACTCGAATGATAATTTCAGGATCCTGTTGACCCACCTGTCAAAAACTCTGCGCCTCGGTGAGATTCGAACCCACGCCAGTATGGGGTAGGCTTTAGTACAGCCAACGCTCTAACAACCTGAGTTACGAGGTCCCGCCGGCTGACGCGAGTTTTATCACATTTGGGTCAAATTACCCGCCAACCTACTGCAATGTCTGGAATCCACCAAACCTAATGCAGTAAATTTACTGCCCAAGCAGGATTTCCCAAGTAATTCACCTAGAATCCACCAGATGACCACCAGCCTCACTTAAGTCATAGATGCTTTGGCAGATTTTGAATTTCAGGTTCACTCGTCATTATTCAACCCGAATCCAACCCTAGGTCGGGAAGATACGATACTGGCACTTGATTTCAGTCGGGTATTGAGCTCAGGACGTGGTCAGGCTAGTCATGGGTTCAAGTACCGTCAGTTGCAATAGGTAGCATTCAAGATCACGCCGGAGTGGCATTTACAGACCTGGTCTGGTCCTAGGACGCAATACTGGCGCTCCATTCTGTCCTGGACTTCTATCCTAAAGTTTTTTTGAAATTTTTCTGCCAGACACAAATATCTCTCAGTGAGTGTGGGGCATTCTGCTTCAAAGTATTTTTGCAGGTTTTGTCCTAAAAGGATATCGCAATGAGGACGAAATTCACGGTCTTGACCGAATACTCCTTTAATAAATAAAATCGATGTTCACAAAAAGAGGCCAGAAAGTATACATAAGAAAAAGATGAAAGTTGCCTTCGATGTGGTAAATGGACAAGGCGCAAAGTTTGTTGCCTTTGTCGCTTTTATATTTATGTACACGCATAAATGCAACGTCTGAGGTGCTGGCTGTTGTGGTTGGAATAAATTCCGATACATGTTGGAGCAAATTTTTGAGGCGTGGTACGTCGGCACCACAAAGAGATAGCGGCAGTTATAAGCGTACTATTTACATTAAATCAAAACATGAAGAGGTGTTGCGCAAGACTGACCGCGAGATCAAACCAAGTAAAAGAAATTTTAAGATAGAAACAGTTGGAGGGTATCAATCACATAAGTTGAACCGTTCTGAGTTCATGTGGACAGTAACCTGAGGGGAGGGTACGATTGGAAGTTTTGCATAGGTGAGCTACTCTTCCATACCGAGACTTCTGAAAACTAGGGCCGGCTTTGGAATAGTTGAAAGTCGCGGAAACGCGGAGCCTTTATTCGTCCAAAATATTGCCTTTATACGTCTTCATCAGTGTTGGGAGAGGATGAGGAGGTTTGGGATTGGAGATGACAGTGATTCCTCTTGAAATCGCCGTTCGAGTGACCTACTTAAGAAAATATGGAAGAGGACTGTCTCACTGCCTCTGGCGTCTCACTGACGGATTCTTTTGAACAGACGCTAACGCCGTAATCATCGACTGACTGGAGCTTAAGTCGATGATTGTGGAAGTTCATCTCTGGGCAGAGAGGAGAATACTGAGGGCTGGGGGGCCTTCCCTCCTCGCCGCCTGGATGCTGTTCCCGCTGTTGGTCCGGCGTCACTTCAGTTCTTGCATTGTGACTGACCTCTGGAGTCCGTCTCCCAAGGGGGCTGGGCGAAGCGCTGCTCATCAGTTCACCCACATCCATTTGGACATCGTCCTCGTCACCGAAGTGGGCAAATTGCACTGGGATGTGAAGCACAGCGGTGGGGTCCTCGAGATTCTCATTTAGAGAACTGCTCTCACTAACAGTTGATGGCACAGCGCTTCTCAGCTTTGATAGAGAAGTGCCTGATGGTTTCAGAAAGCAATGAAAAGAGATAGGTTAGAACTAAGGAAGTTTCATCGTCATTGGAATCAATGCGAGCGCTGTGACGCAGTCAAGCCTTACCCAAGATATTCTCCACAATCCGTTGGGTGTCCCCATTCTCAGGTCCGAACCACTGTTTTCTGGTGTCCGTCCGTCTCGAGCGCATGAGCTCTTTGTACTCGGATATGCGCAATTTACGTCCATCGACAATGCAGGTCCTCTTTGGCCGCGGACGATACCGATAGTCAGGGTGTTCCTCCATATGTTTGCGACTCAATCTTGACTGCTCCTCGTAGTAGGGTTTCTTTTCTTCCGTAGACATCGCCTTCCACTTGGCGCCCAGAATCTTTGAAATGTTGCTGTTGTGCATATCTGGACAGGCCTACAAAGAAAATTACACGGGGCATGCAAGAATATGGTTGGAATAGGGGTTTAAGGTTATGGACTCCGGTATGGTCACCAGTCACCAGACAAGGTAAAATTTGACGCGAAATGAGACTGAATTTCCAATATCTACTTTACAGAGATCTCATTCCAGTGTTAGCCGTCTCGCTGTATTGAGCAAAAACAACGAAGAAGTTTTTCCTCCGGCCTATGAGGGCAGTTCTATTGCGACTTGAGACACATGTATTCTGGTCCCGTTAAGCTATGTTCTTTCATGGTGTTTTCTACCTTTCTACCGATCTTGCATGTGAACTGGCTCATCGGAAAAGTCGGTTCCGATTAACTCCCCATGGTTGGCTTGGGAAAGTGTTTAAAATCAGCAATATAATATATGTCGACTACTTTTCGTGCAAAGTCAGCAAATTAAGGACGGAGACGACTTGACTAACCTTCAGTATTTTCCGCCGTTCTTCACGAGCCCATACCATGAAAGCGTTCATTGGTCGCTTTATGTGAAATCGTTTCGAGATCTTTCCCTTTGTCTGCTCCTTCCCTCCGCTGCACTTTTCTGTTGTCTCTTTGAATTCGCAATTTGAGAAATCCTGTCCACAAGAGAAAAGTAGTAAATGGCTTGGTAAGGAGTTGATGGTGAACGATTCAGTGCGACCAATCACTTATCAGAAATAATTGAAAATATTTCCTGTAGTCGAAAGTTCGTCCGTTGTACGCAACAAGGCACATTGCTGTCCCTGGCACTGACATCTTGGCCAAACATCGGATTGTAGAAAGGAAGACTTGCATAGCTTCGGGTTCACGCGTTCTCTCTTGCCACCGTTATCCCGATCCAGAAGTAAGACTACGTCAGGGCATCTAATTATGTGACAAGACGCAACGGCTGACCCAACGACGCATGCCATGACGCGGCTGACCCCTCTCGCGTAGACGACCCAGGCTTTGAGCGTAAATTGGTCCGCGCCCTGGAGAGGTACACCGGCTACCCTCGTCTGGTTTCATACTTTGTAGTCGGTGAGATGGGTGACTTAACCCAAAGTTGAAAAAAATCATGAGTTTCCTGTCGAGACCTCGCATCTCTTCCCCCACCGCCCTGATCCGATGGCAAAACAATGCCAAGACGAGCGCAGGTACGCGCTGGCGCAATGGTTGATACAGTTAGATAGCCTGCCCATACGTGTCGCACACGACCTGGTCTCCACTCCACATGTGTGACACCACAATAAGGGCGACTCGGATCTCACATGCGTGAGAGTGCCATAAAGGCCACATTGGAGAAGAGTCATTTTGGCTTCGCTGCCAGTTCTCCAGTCAGTCCACTATGTTCACCATGAGGATAAAGTGATACCACCAGTTGGCAACCTACCAAGCCGCGACTCTTAGTGCGTCCTGGCAGATTCAAGCGCTGATTTTGCCGTGAGGATGGATTCGCAAGTTACGGGTAGAGTGTACTTAGGTCCCGTGACATGCATATACTGCAAAGATTTTTCTGCCTAATGCCCACTGACATGCATATACGGCAGAGATTTTTCTGCCTAACTCCCATTCTTTTAAAGTCCCAATTTGGCGTAACCGTGCTATTGATGTTGTCTTTTTGTATAGTAGCAATAACCCTTGATAGGCGACACATCTTTCATTAGTCTAGACACTTGCGACTCAGGTAAAGTGATGCTACGTTACTTTGTTCCTGTCGGAAGTAATTGTCTGCTCACCGTCATGTGGTCACCTCCCGGGGCTCTACACCGCAGCTACAAGTCAGAGCGGAATGCGCGATAAATTCCAAGTGCAATCAGAATAGGTCGGTAGAACACGCTCTCATGTAAATGTAAATTACCTTCTGCACAACACTCTAAACACCAGAAAAATCCGCCAACAAAAATGAACCTTTCAAGTTATTATTTTCGCCTTCTTATCAGTCTTATCCACGGCGCGCCAAACAAGCTGGTCGCTAGGGCAGACCACATTTAGCCGATTGCAACAATCATCCGAACAGTCACGTGCCCGGTGCCCGCTCACGAGGTGGGTGGGTTTGGAGCTGAAATCATCCTAGTCAGATGTAGACGGCGCGGGAATGTTGCAGAAAATGCCAACGTGTCACGTGCCAAGATGTCACTTGGGCTACGCAACCGAAAGTGTGCTATTTGCGCCCCTGTCAGCGGCAGCAGAAGCAGAAATGCCCGTGGGATCTGCGAAATTTCGAGTAGGTTGCTCTCCTTGGCATAGGGTATTACAAGCTGATTACGGCAGAAAAACCAAGTGGCCTTTGTCGGTATTACTCCTAAAGGTAATAGTTCTCTATCCTATTTCCTCCTTGAAGTCTAGGTTACATTTTCTACCAGAAGGACCCGCGGCACGCTAATAGGAAAGTCTGGTGGTAAACGTCGTTTTCCACGGCAAATTTGTTCGCCGTAAAGCATGTTTATTACTGGCAACGGGCAGATGTCGATACTTTTTATATTTTTCATTAGATGCATGCTCACTTATAAAAATTCATCCATATGAAAACTGGTCAGTGGCAAGAGACTGTTGTCCGTGTGAAAATATGTATTTTTGTCATTTAAGTTCAATTTGTAAACTACCTGTCGCGCCGTTTGTATTTTCAAATTCAACCGTATCATTTAATTTACCGCAGTTAGCGTGAATTCGCGAGTAAAAATTCAGATACTGCATATTCCAATAGACATCTTGCTGTACGAAAGCCCGAGAGACTTCTTTAGCACCTTATCCAGAGGGCATCTGCCAAAATTAATTTGCCAATTCTTGTTCGGATTTGAGCTATACCTGTTACGCTAAAAGCGTGTCCTTAGTCGCCGAGCTTCAATCTCCGGTTTTGGTCATTCGAGCGATAAGGGTTTGGATATCATACCCTACAGCACCGGCCCGGGAGTATTGTTCACTCTCAATCAAAGCTTGGCGGGGAACGACTTGGACCTGGATCTACAGGTCATTACATTAACAATTAGGACTGCTAGCCAACAGCGATCAGTGTCAATTAATTGGTATTCTGTGGCGTGGTAACCACACACTACAAATGATGCACCACTTGTACGTCTAGTGTCGTTGTCGGTCTCTCTCTCTATCTTCGATTAGAAGTCAACGTAGGAATCAAAAACTTTGTGCGCACGAAGTTCTTGTTTTAGTGGTAGAACCCACTCCTTCCAAATAAATCTTCTTTTGCAGATAGGCCTGAGTCTGTTATCTCTCTTTGCAGACGACTAGGATGGTGAATCCATAGGTGGCTCTCCCTCTCTCCCTCTTTCTCCTCAAAGTCTGAATGCTCTGCTGTCTCCCTTTGATGATTTCTTTGTCTGTGCGGTGGTAACAAAGGTTTTTGCAGGGAAAGCAGGTATTTCTGACGTAGCTCATTAACACCACTGCATTCTGGCTCTGTTGCCATTGACGGAGACCTGACAGTACCCACCAGAGCGAGTAGCACATGCAGCACAGTAGAGTCCACTGGTGTGACCTCCCCATGAAGGGTAGGTTTTTTAAATCGTTTTAAACTGTTGGTTACAGGCGTTGGGGCTTCTAACAGCAGCATGCAGCGACCGGGTACGTATGCGGCTAACCTTCCTCGGAAAGAGCTAAAAAATCCACGTAGCCATTCATTCCCCATCTATTTAGGCAAATCACGCAGTCAAGTAGCGTTCGGAAGTGCAGCCTAACTTACCTCGAAGGTAGCAGTTCTCCTCGTCTGACCGGCCTGCGCAGAGCGGGCATTTGATGACAACGCTTCACACCCTCCATTTGCCGACGAGCGACCAACACTTGCCTGAAGAATGTTGGTAAAGGCGTTCTGTCCACCGACGCCCTCCAGCTTCTCGTCATGGTGAGCAGTGTCTACTTCCGCCTGCAAAGATGCCAAGCTCAATAAGTCTCTGTCAGACAGTTCAGTCGGCCTCACATCCCCAAGGCCACTGCCGCTGCCAATACCACTACCGGGGTTAATAGAGTACTGTCGCGTGAGCTGCTGGAGCAGGGAAACTGTGGGATCAGCTGAGACCTTTGTAGCCGACGCTGTCGTTGCACGCAGTCCTGTCACGATGGAGGGAGTGTGGCAATTGCTGGTGTGGCCGCTGCCATCGAAGTTAGGCGGGGAAGTGTTGTTCATCGGCGGGATGGAGACCGGTGGTTGTTGTGGTGGTGTTACCAGGCCCATACCCTTCGTCAGGGGGCTGTTTTGTAGGGCTGAGAGAGTGGGCAGGAAAGAGGACAGAGTGTTGGGATCGAGGTTGAACTGTGAGATTACTTGGGCTGTCGGGCTGCAGTAGGCGCCTGGGTCCAAACTTCTGCTGACGGCAGATCCAAATTCCAGGCCACGGCCAGGTTGGCAGCCCAACCGCAAACTCTCAGTCAGGAGGAGGTCGCCGGCAGCAAGGAGTGGTGGTTCGCCAGGGCGCTGAAGGAAAGTCTCGGGCACCGGCATACCCAGAGGAAAGAGACAGTTAGCAAATGCGACCTCGGACCCTGCGTTACAGACGGGGGTGGATAGAGGTTTGGATGTACCGAGGCTTGGCTGCTCTTGAGGGTCTATGGGGTCGCTACTGATGAGGCCTAAAGACTGCCTAACGGCGGCACCTGTTTGCGTGATCTTCGAATCACAAAAGTAGTTGGGGTTCTGGCAGGCTTGAAGAACCCTGAGCAACAGTTCGCAGGTATTTTCGTTACATTCCGACGATGGAACCTGCAATGAGAAGGGTAAAATGATGTTTTATTTTCTGAAAAGTAATTTTTATTTACTATAGCCAAAGACCCTAGTTAATCCAAGACGGACGGTAGACGAAGCTCCCAAAAATAAAATCTCCGAAGGTCAATAGGAATTCCTGGAAGGAACGCCAGTGTTTTGTTAGAACAAGCCTTTTGTTATTGATTCTTCGTTGATGCAGAAAATGCTGTGCTAACAGACATGGAGGGGTTAGTTTGTAAGCTGAACAGCAGTTTCTGCCAAAAAACGTAGAAAAGAATCGTGTCCTCGAGAGTTTCTACTCTCGACCCCTTTGCTCACTTTTGGATGCCTTTACTTCCACACACTCAAGATCCATACGTAGAACTGGTTGAGAATATTGACCTGCAGTGCCATACATATCTTCGGACTCGTTATCATATGAAAGAGGATCTCATATAGAAAGCAGCAGCATGTGCGCTTGCGGTCACCGATGAACGAAAATGTACTTTCGACACAATAGTGTCTACTAACATATTTATAGTAGACAGCTTAAGTGTACAAATACGTATAATACCTTTGAGAGGGACTGAAAAGCTTGGGGAATCTTCAGGCTGGCATCACTGTTGGGCAGACCGAGGGGAAATCTGAGTTTCTTGGTATCCTCGGTTTTGTCACAAGCTGTCCCGTTCACCGCAGTGGCTGCTGGTTGAATGGATGGAATATGGGTGTGAACGTTTGGCATTTCGCCAAGGGCCAGGTCTGTGTTGTTTGAGCCTAAGGAGCCCAGAAGGATATTGCTAGCAGTTCTGTTGAAGGTTGTTAGGCTCGATTTGGTCTGAGTAAGATTTAGGGGCGCTTCTTCCTCAGTCTATTTAAAGGATCAAAAGAACGAATTAGACACAACATTCAAATCAAGGGTTCAGCGGAATCCCTGCTAAAATGGATAGACGTGACTTCTGCAATGGTAGGAAACTCACTGGTAAATAGCCCGACGCCGTTCTAATTTGCACCTATCTCTTTGATAAACATTTTTTAGAAAACACTACATTCGGCTCGGACACCAGCGAAAACTGAAGAATGTTCTTTAGGGTTCGTTAAAGCAATAGGCATCGGCCTATATATAGAAGTTTAAATAGGTAACAATTCATAATTTGGCGCTTATTCATTAGAATTCACAACCGATTGGTCAGTTTCCGCATTTTCACCGACCCCAGTCTGAGTAGGCGTAAGAATCAAGACATTCGAAAGATCGAGTAATTACATGGTTTGGGGATTCAACACAGATTGCCCGAATTAGTCGTGCAGGTGGACATGATCGTGTAAAGGAATATGCACATTTCTGCACAAACCATATAGATGGGAAGAGATAGCGTAACGGAGCAGACCACTGGAGGGTGAAAATCATAACTAAGAATGAGACCCGAAGAGAACATCATTCTTTAGCCCCAAATGGCGAGGCGGAAGTTTGAATGGGCTCACGTTGCGACGCACTTGATTATGTGCGCACTGGGTAGTATACGGAGTTAAAATAACGAATAGTTCATGCTGTATGAAGCTGAAAACGAAGCGATTACTGGAGGCTGAGGTTATCACATGCAAAACTGTTGCCAAAAGGCCAACGACAGATGAACTACGATAACTGCCACCAGAATATCAATACTACAGACAGTGCCAAATAAAGGAGTCTCGTTGATCCGGTGTATGCCAAGAGATGATAATACCCCACTGCATCCAGCTCGCCCAGTCAGACACTTCCAACATAATTCGGTATCTAATCGTTTTTCTGGTCCTCTTGTTTTCGGATCTCAATACTACTGGCCACATCCGTGCCCGAAATAAATATCAACAGCTTCAATTTTCCTACGTTTGGCCGACGCGCTTCTTCCTGTGTGTGGAGGCGGAGAAGAGCTCATTGTCGGCCAACAGCGTACAGTCGAGTAGCCACTTCCGCCAAGAGCCCATCAAACGTGAACGGCAAGTAGTATGAAACAAGTAGGTAGGCCCATCGGAAATGTTCTTTCCATCCCCGAGCATCAGTCCACCGCCCATCACGAAAGTTGACCCACTTGCCAATGATCCCAATTTGACGGCCGCGGTCATCTTATACCTGTCAGCTTCGAGACTTGGAGCAATCGACGGCAACCGGATGACATAGCACCACGAAGATGTGTGTAAGTGCATGATGCGGGGATGGTGAGGAGGGCTATGAGGAGTGGAACCACGCGATTTCTCCGTTCTTACTCCCTCTTCTCCGCCCTCCGTGAAGTGTCCTTCAGATTGAAGACCTCCCCTGCTACCTTGCCGTCCCCCTAGTCCGAGCGCAGTAAATTAGCACGTTGTCTGGGCGCGCGCTCGTGAGCAGAACGGAAACTGGGCGCAATGGAGGCTGCGCGGGGTGGTGGGAAGAGGGCACTCAAGATTCGTGATTTTATTTGTGTCCCTCCTCAAGGACGTTTGTCCGAAAAGAAAGTTTTTGTGGGCAAGACAATGCAATCACCTGCGCTCGAGCGAAAGGACACGTCCGACCGCCGCCTCCCAGACCACACACACTTGAGAATGCTGCGGAAATCTCAGCAAAGCGAAGTGTGTTTTGTCTTGTATAACCCTCTTCACCACCACCACCACCACCACCCCTGCCTCTTCCCTCACTTCCGAAATCGCAACTACCTTCTAGTCAGACAAAGACTTTTCGACGGTTGGGAGGCGATAAAAGTAGGCGAACGTCCATCCACTTCAAACGGGTTCCTTTCGCCCTGAAGACACATACAAACGGAGAAGAAGAAGAAAAGGAAGAGAGGGAGACGACAGAGATTTCCGCAGTGATTCCTAAGCCGTGCAATTTCTTGAATAAGTGGGCAAAGGAGCAGACAAATGTTCTGAGTGGTACATACTGTTGAATGAACAAAGAACTCTATGGGACCGGCATGTTAACAGATTGAAGCTTCAACACGACTGTCCACTGTCAGAGCTTGCGTCCCATAACAAATCGGAGAGGAATTTTTTGCACGACTTTCCTAAGCGTTCCGGACAGATATCCAAAAGATTTAACCGTTCTACTCCGAGGTGGCAGGTAACTACATAAGCAAGTCACTGTCGACGCTGTTGCATAGTTTCGACAGGGAAGAGAGACCCAGCTGGTAGGATAGAGAGCCAATTTTCAGGGAAACACTGCCAAGCCAGGGAAGTCATTTCAGGCACTGTTTGTTGGGCAGCGAATACACTGACGATCGACAAGAGATTCAACTCCTTTGCCTACTTTTGTGCACATTTCCGGACTTCTTTTACTCAGAATGTTATGAAACAGAAAGTCTTTCGAAAAGAGGGGTCTGGGGAGTTAGGAGTAATTTAAACAAGATCCAGCTTTTGCCTAAGTGTGAAATAAGGAAAATTTGTGCTTCCCACTTTCCCAATCCGCCCATATACATCAGCGTAAATCCTCATCCTCTCCGAAACTAAATTCGGATTAATTCACTACAAAAAACTTCCCCTAACTAGTTGCTTAGATACACCTACCAGCCAGGTAATTTTTCTCGGTGCTGGATGATAACGTCCTCCATTGATTCGACGGGAGATTTGGGAAACTTATTTCGTATGCGGTCGGCGCCGCAACTCATGAAACAGTGATTCAAATCTCCCAATATTTTAATGCCAATCGCAATGATAAATAATTTAAAGCTGACTTAGACGATGGCGAAAATTACTAGTTTTGTTCGGCAATCTTCCTGGCCAGCTGAACCAACGAGTCTTACCGGATTTGAGCAGTTGTCATTGCGTGGGCCCAGGATAGCAAGACTCGAAAAACTCACGGCTTGATTTAAACAGGTTCAGGTGAGCTCTGATACACCACGATGATGACTTGATTTTGACAAAAAGCAGTACATTCACGAGTGACACGTTGGTTTGTGTACGTTTACTAGTTGCCTCGAGCTTTCAAGTAGACGTCTTATCTTCCCCGTAAATTTTCCCAGGCGGCTTCATGGCTAACCCTGAGACTTTAAAAATGCGTGTTAGAAAAATTAACACGAACAGAAGCCAAGGTCATACTCACCTTGAAGCCTGCCAGAGACGCCGACAAAGAGTTCAATTGTCGCTTAAGTCCACTAACTTGTCCTGCCACCTCACTCAATAGCAGGATCTTCTCCTCCGTCGAGAGGGTGTTGGAGAGGCAGGCACTGCGCAGAATGGAGGTGATGTCTTCGGAGGCAATTTGTCTTTGGGATTTAACTGTTGTGCCATCGACAGCCGACTTCACTCCTGTCAGTGGGGTTGAGTCAACCGTTTGAACGCCCACGGTACGGGGAACTGTGAAGGTGGGGGCGCCCATAGGGCCCCGGGGGAGAGTGCACCCAGCGCCAGGCGAGAGGTTGAGTATATCGGCGGGCAGTGTGCTACCAAAGCCACTGGTCATGTGGTGTTGGTGCAAATGTGGCAAACTGAGGTAAGACGCAAATTCCATGTCTGCTTTACTACTCTGTGACGACAGGGATGTTTCGCAGGACAAGGAGGCGAGTGGGGAGGAGGCTGAAGGGAAAATAAGAGTCGCAGTCTTCGACGACCTTTCGAGGCTGGTTGTTAGTGGAGAGGACGGTTCGTGGTCGACTCTAGGTGATTGGTCTCCGCTGGGTAACTGGCTGTCTTCCAATGACAGGGAACTCGTTGGGGAGGTGCCATTCGCCGCGTGGTCTTCCTGTTGGTCGTCTGTCGGTGTTTGATGTGACCTACTTTGAAGCCTACTGGGGTGAGTTGTCTTGCGTTTGGAGGACATTGGCAGCGGTAGAAGCCTGAAAGCGATAAAAATATGCCTGGTATAGCAGTCGAAACAAAATCCTTTCTAGGAGACGTTACAGATCGACCCTGAATGAAAGCTCGCACAGAAAAGTGGCAGAAAAACGCAGTGCAATGCCTTCACCGTGGAGGTGTTTTAAGACCATGCACCGGCCGGTATCTACCGCCTCCAAATAACATAAGTAAATGGAGGAATGTCACCCGGACCGGCTCGGGAAGGTTCCCGAGTTGTATATCTAGGAAAGGTGTGTAACCCTGCCGCCTCTCCGAGTATCATCAGTACCCGTCGTGAAAACTGGCAGCCTTTTTGGCTACGCCTAAATTCGGGGATCTATGGGTGACGATGCCATCAAATCCCCTCCAGACAGGCAGAGACCGACAAATGACCTGCACACGAAATGTGTGGAGTATGCAGTTGTCCACTAGGGGGGCGGGGGTTTAAAATAAGTCATATAATACGCAAAACATGCGTACACGTGCATACAACATGTGTGTTTTTGAGCGAAGGGCGCCAAGCCCGAATAATGCTGTTCGACTCCTACTAGACACGCGTGTCTAGACAGGAAGTTCAAGCGGGCCGTCTATCGTAGGGCAATTCGGGTGCAGAAAATGTCTTTAACAAAATGCTGCGGCTGCTTGAGAAACAGCCGGCGGTAAAACAGCCTGCATAAGTCCCTTCAAATGGCTCACCTGTTCTCGAGAGATACGCTTGTAACAACTTCTCTGCGATGGGTGCTATTTGACCCCACTCAGCGAAAAGTGCAACTGAAGTGGGACACCCCGATGACCTTCTGGTAACCCTGGTCAATTGTTACGAAAGCTATGCTCAAAAACATCGTTGTCCATCCATCAGGCTCCGTGACTACCACCACTGTGCCGAGGGCGCTGTAGTGGATTGCACGTGAATTTGATTATGGTGATCAAATAACCAACCCCACACACGAGAATTAATCACTGACAAGTGGTCGGTAGGACTTCTCGGGATTAAAACTCGCCCAGGTAAAACTTGTGAGGAGCAAAAACCAATTGTTATTTAAGAAGTAAAATTTCATCCCTTTCATTAAGTTTAATAGGAAACAGCCCTTAGTTATGGATCGCATAATCGCTAAACTAACAAGGTAATTTGATTCTAGTTCTACTAGGAGATCGTGTTTCTTATTTTTCCAATCCTTTCCGCAATACCATATCTGAAAGGGACAAAAAGGCAAAACTGTTGTTTCAGATGTGCACAGCCATGATTCCTTGATATTGGTTATTTTTTTCTTCATTCGGACCAAAAGGTGCCGAAGTCGGAAAGTCACGTGACAAACAGCAAGATGAGTTGTTACACCAGCATCGTCCGGGAGATTTCGGTCGTTATTTTAATCGCCGAAGTGAGCTTTGTGACTTCTGTGACTATCATCGGCCTCATAGATCCTCAGAAACGATTCAAATGTGCTCTCTTCCTCAGGGTATTTTTACCTTCACTCCCCTCTCCCTGATTAACTACCCAGACAAACGTGCAGTTGAAAGTAATCTGCAAGATTTCGAGGCCAAATTATGTGAACCCTTTTGCCGAGGGAAAAACTATTGTTTGATCAGCAAAGCAGGCCTCTAACGATTAATTCGAACGGATGCGATTCAGCCAAAAATCCTCATCTGATCTAATTATAAGGATTCGTTTCCATTTAACTCTCTACTTGTTACTTTGTCCTACATTTATTGTTCACTGGTTTCCTGTCCAGGCTTCTTTGCATCAGCAATTACATCGTTACTTTATTTCAAATAATCTTGGTTGCTGTCTGGATTTCTTCGAAAGCTTACTTCCTCGCGAAAAATAGGCGTTTCTATGTTTTTACTAGGTGTTTACAGTAGCCAGTGCCGTTAGCTGTATGTCCAGAGGCGGATGAGCAGTGGAGGATGTGATTGAGCCTCGACGATGATTTTGAGCACCGGAGTTTGCAAATAGCTCAATGTCCTCAAGAAACGTCAACTTGTACATTCTCCTCCCTCCAAGAACACTTTTCCCGCTCTCACAGAATGATATGAGACTTTAAAATATTAACCTTCTCTGTTGTCAACGATTACGAGTTCTCCTTTCTGAAGCGCGCACAATCCCCGATAAATAAATTACACATCATAGGCGATAGAGGACTGCTTACCTATGCACATTTGTCTGAAAGTCTCTGATCTATTAGGTGCATCATATGGTAAATTGAAGGCCACCAACTTCGCACTATACCACTTATATCTAATTATGCGGACGACAACTTCAGTCACCACGAGAGCGTTAGCGTCCTCTGTATCAGCCCCCCCCTCTCCCCCAATTAGCGAGGAAGTGAGCTAATGTCTCGATGGCTGCTCAGTATGTTGGATGCCCGTATAACTGAATTAATTTCCTGCAACCCGCTTTCTTATCTTCTGCCTCCTTCAGAATATTATCTGTAAAAACCAGTACACTATCTGCTACTAGTTTTGAGGAAGAGGACAGTTTGTTGAGCGTCAGAAGAATTCATAATAACATTTGCTTCTTCCCTTGTTAACTAGATGGGTTTCGGAAGGGGGCCCTTTTATCTCCTTCGCCCTCTGCTTACCAAACGCTGGGCTTAAATGTTATTGGATTTTTCCGACTATACTGCATTCTCAAGAGAAAATTATCTTCCTTATTCTCCGTTTGCACTCAGCGACAATCCTATAGGAAATAGCAATACACATAAATGTGTTTTTATATATAACGGAGACTGCTGAGGGGAAGTTAAGTAGGACAAGACCGCAAGATAAGTTGAAGGAAGCGACAGCGGATTCGTTGCCTATCTCCACGAGGGACCTAAAATGTATTCAAGGCTCGAGGGGTGCTAAGGAGCCCTTCAAACAGCTGCGTGCTGGTATTTTTGGTGAACAATGAAACGGGACCCTGTGCTGATTTGGACTGGTTCTAAGATCTGTAAACAAAGACGGCCAGGAATGTCGTAGTGATTTGTGTATGGTATGGATGGAAACCTCGCCCTCTCCCCAACTGCAGAGCGGACAGAATGATAAATGTTTGCTCGACCAGATTAAAGTCGGAAGAAAATAGATTGTTTCTCAGTGCGGACGGCTGGAGTTCCAGATGACCCGTGAAATGCGCAACAATAAAGCCTCACACCGCATCCAATTTCTAAGCTAGTTTGAAACAGTGTTGTACACAAGTGCTCCTAAGTCACTTACTCGGATTTTTCTCGTCCACAAAATTTTGTTACGTGTTTTGCTATTACGGAAATAATAAGCCTATGGCGTCCACATAAGGGCATAATCGCTAAAACGATTGTAGTTGGCCATTTTGCCTAAATGACATAACTTCGGACTGTGAGTCGCTCTAAAAAGGAACCCTTAACGGCAAAAGTCTCACTGCTATATTATTTAAACAGGACCAAGTTGCCAAAATATGCAGAGTTTGATGACGTTATAAGAATTCATGACCTCGTAAGACTTCGTAAGATCATAGCAAATTACTGAGATAAACTGTTCTATATAAAGAGGCTATGTATATATTGAATAACTGACGTAGTGCACGTTCGACGGTGATATAGTGGAAAAGAGGAAGCTCTTCAGAAAAAGAACTTTTGACCGTGAATTTTCAAGTTGTTGGCACCCACTCATCGTTAGATGAAGTTAGCTGAGGAAAAAGTGAGACGGACAGACTAGACCGGTTGGCGCGACAGAACAAACGTCGACATACAGATAGCTAGTGTGTAGAGCGGTGGGCATTAATTTACGGTAAGTTTTGGTTGACATATATATATATATATGGAAGAAAAGAGCGAGTTCACGAAACGCCAACACAAATATAGTCCGTCCCACCAACTCTCCTCCTTTCTATCTTGTTGGAAAGTTAAATACCTCTAGATTGAGATAAAAGCACAACAGGTCGGGTTTGCCCTGTAACGCGATCAGTGATTGTCCTCTTATCACATCCAGGGTACCTAATTGCAACCGAGAGGACAACAATCCCGCGGCTCGTTGGTAAGAGTGTTTAAATAATAACCAACAGAACGCGAGTTCGGTATCCAGGTGCCCCAATACTTAGGGTTGGATAGGGCTGGCTGACGACGGCTAATAGGCCGGAAATGGCCATCACAGTCTCCCTTGTCATTGTTACTCATTTTCTTCTGCACTGTATATATGCATATATAGGCGTCAAAGTAAGGGCAGAGGGGATGGTGAGGTCGTTGCACGTTGTCTCTTTAGTCACCCCCATCCCATCCAACAAATGTCTCCCGCAGAGAAGAGGGAAGGAGTCTGCCAGAGGTAGCGCAAACGGCATAAATCACCTGCTCACCGTTGCTCCCAAGAATCCGAAGTCAGTCCTCATTCGCTCTGACGACTGCTGGAGTCACCGCTTGCAAGAGGAAGGCAAATAGTTACGCCGATTTTGTACTGACTACGACTACCGTGAGGTTAACAGAGGTCACACGGGTCCATCAGTGGTCCCCATGGTGAGGTCAGAGCCAGTCGACACCAAGTAGAGGAGTCAGTATCCATGATTCAGACACGGCTACCATGCAGTGCTAACGATGAGAATGAATAAAGTAAGACCATCAGAAACGACCACTTCTACGCTGTGGTGGAGAAAACGAGAAGCTGCCAAAATTCATCTCCTCTCTGGTGTCTTCTATGGGGAGTTATGAACCCACCAATATATCTGTACCTAGAGTTCTTGTCCATGTTCACCTATATATGAGATGGCACCGACAAAGAAAAGGGAGACCGGAACGGCCATTTCCGGCCTATTGGTCGTCATCAGCCAGTCCCAACCCCAAGTGTGGATCACCTGAGATTAGAAGCCAGGATCTTTGGTCATGGAGTTGGACACTCTACCACTGAGCCACGGGACCGTTGTCCTGCTGGTAGCGATTGGGAACATCAACTATGACAGATTAGTGCTCACCGATCAGGCTACGGAACGTGCTCCTTCCGTTGAGCCTTTGGGCTCATACTAGAACCCTGGGATCAGATTAATGA